TCTGCTATTCGATGTTTGCTTGGGAAGTGATCGTATTTTCCACTCTACTGGCTTATCAGATTTCAGCTGATGATAAACCGACCTTGTTGAGAAAGCCATGCAGCGAAGAAGAGAATTTCATGGTGATTTTCGTAAACTCGGTTGATAATAAACTACTCTGCGTTGGGACCTTGGTCAACAATGAATACGTGAGTTGTAATATGATGAATAATATATATAATATAATTGGGATCGTGCCTAATATAACGTTTTAAGTCTCTCACTTGATGACCTCGAATATCTTCAAATAAGTTCTAAAGTCCTCAAGGTGGGCATTTTTGCATTTCTCTAAGACCTATTTTTTTTGCTGGAAAACGAACAAGTTTTGAAGTTGTTGTAACCTTTTTATTCAGTATGATTAATGGAAAAACTGATATTTAAAACCATCAATTAATTGGAAAGTGCCACATACCTTCGAATTGATAGCATATTTATATGGAGTAAAAATTTCAAAATTCAAAACATTAGGAGCTCCCTTACAGAGGCGACTGTAGAAACCACTTCGTGGGGAGTTATTCAAATCAGACCCTCGCCATTGCAATCCCGGAAATGGTAAGAGATATGAAGTCAGTTAAATTGGGGTAAAGTTGCGCATTTAAGTAACTAAGAAAATGACACAAAGATTCGCAACCCCAAGTATTTCCGGAGATAGACGCAAGAAACAGAATTTTCCCTAAATCGTTTTTATTTTATCTCCTCACTTTAATTGCACAAATCCCTTCAAAAATGTATAAGTATTACCACTTCCATCAATTCATATTTTTGAAATTCTATGTTATGTGAACAGAAATCCAAACAAATATCGAACCTCTGCAGAAATACACACATGCACTATGTAATGTTCATTACCTAAGATATTCACACTCGCGACTCAATATGACTAAAAATAATAGACCTAACGTTAAATAATATAATTAATTCGTCAATGCAAGTAAATAATATAATTTTGGAGATATGTCTATCACTACTTCTCAAAGTTTGCTAAAAAAAAGTTGCTTAACCACTGTTTCTATTCAGTTGATGAGTACATTGTATATATATATATATATATATATATATATATATATATATAATGTGGTCAATAAATGGCATAGCATTTGAGACGGGATTTCAAAATAAAAAATATATAACTTTGCCTCTTTTTCTCCTCTACAAGATGGCACAATCAGAATTTCAATATGACGTTTCGTCTCTTATCTTCAATCATCAACTTTATTTTTTCCTATGAACGCCATACTGGATTTCTACATATGTGAATAAAGTTTTGCATTCCATACAATGACACACTTAAGTAAAAAACTAATGGAGATGCTATACATGTCACCTCAGCCGTAGACTAATAGTATTTGTACTTGAACGCAAGATTTGTGCATCGGTTTAGATATGAGGGATATGAAATGTGTTGAGGAAGCTGCATTTTCTTTGGAGGCGATTCAATATTATATACATAAATAACGACTTTTAAAACCCACAGGTAGTAAATTGTCTTAAATAAATCAGATACATTTATGAACAATCCTCCGCCATTTTGTCTTTAAAATTTGACATCTGATTCATGATTCAATAGCGACCTTGAAAAGCCTATTGTACCGAATTTTGTTCACATCAAACAACAATTTGTATTTCTACCACATTTTTAGCACTGTGCCCATTTGGGCCACCATCTTCGCATAATATTTATTCAATAACAAAGGAAAAAATTGTTAGATAAAAATTGACACTAATCATATTCATTTCCAGGTACTAACTGCGGCATCCTGCAGCCAGGTTTGGATGGACCAACCTATTAGCGTGGTAGCCGGGGTCTCCAAACAAGATCTCAAAAGCCTCGAGAGAGTCCACAATCGTTCAACAGTTTCCTTATTCACTCATCCCAACTACTACCTCATCACCCATGATTTAATGATGGTCCAACTTGATGAACCAATCGATGAAACACACAACGTTAAATATGTTAAGCTGCCATGGGGGACTCAAGAGAGCTTGGAGACTGCATGTGCCAGGTGAGCATGGTTTATTGAGTTTTATAGTCCGCACCTACGAGCCCCTTCCCACTTCAGTTGGCCCACTTCAAGATTTGTACGAAAATATGCCTTTATAAACTAAACATGACGAAACTATTTACTTCTAAAACAATTTATTTTCTCAAAAACATTTTAGATACACTCTAGTCGTAAAAAATACATATTTGAAATCACTCAGACCTATAACTAATAGAACATCTGAACAAATAAACAATGTACGAATAAATGCGCGAAATTAACAAAGCAAAAGTTGAAAGATTACCATTCGGGAACATCACCTTTATTTTTTATTACGGCTGATATTCTTTGGGACATAGTGTTAACCAAGTTTTGGCAAAAATTTGGTGTAAAACAATGCCATATTTCTTGAAGCTTTTGTCTCAGTTCGGTGATTGTACGAGCAGGATGTTGTCGTAGAACCTTTTTCATCTCGTGCCACAAAGTTTCAATAGGTGACAGATCTGGACTGTTAGAAACCCATTTCTAAAGTGGTACATTATTTTCATCCATCCATTTTTTAGCCCTTTTTGAGGTATGGCACGCTGCACCATCTTGCTGAAACACAAAATCTTGGCCGAATATCAAACATTCTTCCATCACTGGTAAAAGTGATTCTTCTAAAATTGCCAAACATTTGTTTGTATCCACATTTCCATCAATAAAATGAAGTTTTCCTACTCCTTTTGATGACATACTGCCCCAGACCATAATGGATGCTGGAAATTTCACTTTTCTCTTCAGACAGTCAACATGGAATGCTTCATTTTTTTGCGAATAACTCTACTGCGACTGTCACCAACACAAACTTCGAATCGGGCCTCGTTACTCCATTGTATTGCACACCATTGTTGAGGTGTCCATTCTCTATGTTCTTTTGCCCATCTAAACCGATTTTTCTTTTGCAGTGGAGTTAATAGTGGCTTTTCTTTGGCCTATAAACAAGTTGTGCATCTTTAGGGTTTTTACTTCACTTTTTTTTATAAGAAAACTTACCTTGCAAGTGCTAAATCCCAGTTTGTGGGCCTCTCTATGAGTTGTGGACCTCGAAATTCTCCTTCCAACAGCGTCACTCCACAGAGCACTTAATTGTAAATAATTTTTACGCCTGTTTTTCACGATTATTCTTCTTCGATCGGCATTTGTGATATTACTTTTTTTCACATATCGTGACTTAATATTATCTGAACCAGTTACGTTATATCTTTTAACAATATTTCTCACACTGTGCGGCGATAAGTCTTACAAAGTTGCAATTTCTGAGTTTGATTTCCCAGAATTAAAAAATTTAATTATCAGCAACCGAATTTTCTCACTAATAACCTTTCCTCTACCCATTTTGAAAACCTTAACTACCCAAAACTATTTTAAACGTATTCTGACAGCTGTGATTAATAAAAACAATTGTCATGGCTTTTATTTTTTACAGCCACCTATACGTTATAGACTTATTTTGCATTGAAATGAAAATAGGTTGATATGCTGCAAATTTGATTAGGGAGTGATAAAGTTGGTGTTTTCTACTATATATTATCAACATATTCATTGTTAATATAATACTCGTATTCTATACAATTTTTTATGAGGTTATTTTGTGGAATCTCTTTTCCTTTTAGAGAAATGTGACAAAACGTGATATTCATGACATTTCATCCCAAATAAAACAAGGTTCCGCTACAAGGAAATACGAGGAGCTTTAATATATGATCCATAATGATATATTCAAGATGTGTACCAATTTTCAGCTTTATGGGAATTTTTGCAAACTTGGAAAAATAACGCGCATTAACTGTTTCCTCCTTCAAAACTGAATCTTAACAATGCATTTCAACTATTACAAATGTAATTTTGTCTATCTATCCCCCTCCTACTTACAAGTGATAATTGATTTTCAGACCAACATTGTTGGGTTGGAGCATGCGTTCAAAAGCCGGAGCAGAGAGTGAGTCAAGCCTACTCTGCGCTGATTTAAAGCTATATCCCTTGGACCAATGCAAGCAAGACTACAAAACGTATCCGGATCTCGAAATAGATAATAAGGTAACGTAATTTACAATTCAAATGATCTGCAATTCAAAATAAGATTAAGCTGTACTATTAATTTCGATCGATGTAAGCGTGAAATTAGATCTGGATGCAAAGAAGCAATCTAGTCCGAATTAGGGCGTCTAAAACTAATTTAATCAGCTGAATCTAGCCACGTAACAAGTGAAACTTACGAAAATACAGAGTCTGTAAAATAAACCAAGTAAGCCAAATGCTATATATTGGTCACTCACCTATTAACCCAGGGCCCAGGCTACACCAAAAGAAAATAGGTATTTCGTGTCGGTTTTTCTAATGACAAATAATACATAAAAAGATACAGCCAGATATGCGTTGTTTTCTATAAACAATGGGAAAAGCTCCAAATTCAGTATTTTGCTTGTATAATTTTCAAATTAAATTTTATTAATTATCAGTAAACTGGAAATTTTCAGTATTTTGCTTGTATAATTTTCAAATTAAATTTTATTAATAATCAGTAAACTGGAAATTTTAGAGCATAAAAAGACCCTCAACTCTATTTTTTAAGAATTGAAGTCGATAAACAATTAAGCTAAATACGGTTTTTTCAGCAATATTGAATAAATGTTTATAACTATTGCAATAACAACTGTAAATAGCTAAAATGAACATAAGAATGAGGGCATCATTGGTGTAAATATTTTGCTAAATTCCGCTGGATTTAATACGAGGGATGTCTTTTAAGTTTTGCATATGGAAATAAAATAACACGGTAGGTAGTTTTAAATGACGTTTTTCGAAGTATTTTCCACGAAGATTAATACACATCTGCATGCGCTCGAGCCAATTTTCGAAGCACTTATTCCACTCGTTTGCTGGCAGACCATAAACGGCATTTTTGAATGCATCACCTGCTTCTTCTGGTGACTGGACCCTTGACCACGCAGTCTGTTTTTAATTTTCGGGAAAGTAAAGAAATCGCTAGGACTTAGATCGGGACTATATGTAGGATGGTCCAATAATTCCACGCTTTCTTACGTTAAATACTGCCTTGTTTTTTGGGCTGTGCGCGAGCTTGCATTGTCTTGGTGGAGGATGATTCTTCTTTCGGGGTTGATTTTTCGAAGCTCGGTGATGACTTTTGGCAAACAAATGGTGGTATACCAATCCGCAGTAACAGTTCTTTGCTCGTTAAGAGGAATTGTTGCAATATAATCCGCTTTTGACACAAATGTCGCGACCATCTTTTTCGAAACACTTCAAGAACGGATGACTTTTGTTGGCTTTTCTTCACCTTGGAACACCCAAACAGCCAACTGTCGTTTATTTTCTGGTTCATAACAGTAAATCCACGATTCATCACCACTAACAATGCTGTACACATTTTTTGAGTTTCCGGAATTGAAACGGTCAAGCATTTTTTGACACCAACTAACCCTGGCTGCTTTCTGCTCTTCAGTCAACAGGTAGGGTATCCAACGAGAAACTAATTTTCTTACTCCTAATTCTTCATGTAAAATTTTTTGAATTGAGGTCCTTGAGATCTTCAAGGACGCCTCAATCTCGCGATATGTCGCATGTCTATCTTCAATGATGAGTTTGCGCACAGCATCGACGTTTTCCTGGGTGACTGCCGTTTTTGGTGCACCCACCCTGGGATCGTCGCTAAGACTCACCCGTTCACGTTTGAATTCTCCGTACCAACGGAAAATTGTCGACTGATGTGGCGCTTCGTTGCCGAAAACAGACAGTAACTCAGCAAGGAAGTTTTGTTGCAATAATTGTCTCTGAAAGTTGACTTGGCGACACTTAAAAATTCACTGTATTGAGAACACTGCACGTATTGTTGTGAAACTTTGAATTTAAGTTTACTAAAGAGTGCAAAACTTAAAAGACATCCCTCGTATGTCTATGTATGAAATTTCAACCAAATTGAATAGTTTTCCTCAGGCGTTATATTTTATTTGTCACTAAGTATATATGATATATTTCCAGACTATGTGCACAAAAACAGACAAGATGGACGCATGCTACGGTGATTCTGGAGCGCCTCTGATGTGCGGAGGTATACAATACGGTGTCGTTACATTTGGACTCGGTTGCGCAAATGAACTGCCTGGTGTCTACACCCGAGTGGACCAGCACATGGACTTTATAAAAGACGTGCTTGATGGAAACATAGAGCCCAGAATTCCTGCTGGAAAAGCTGAAGGTCTACGCGGAGTAGTTGCAGCGATGTTTAGTGTCGTTTTCACATTTTTGTACTTGTTTGTTCATAATTAAACTTATGCTTCTGCATTTTATTGCTTTGTTAACCTTTTTCCTAGCAGAGCCTTTATAATTATTATTAGGGAGTTAGAGCCACTTTTTGAAGAAGTACTTTCATAAAATGATAAATTTTAACTGAAAATACTTGTTCTGTCTGGCTTGTTTCTGTAACTACAACAGTCGTGCTGTTTCTTATTTTTAAAGCATATCACTGGTCTTCCCAGAATATCATTTTTTTCATCAAGCTATTATCTTAAGTTTAGGCAGTGAACAGTGAGTGCCGTATTGTTTACCATTCGTTGTTACATTCGGTATCTATGAAACTCATACAGAAAATTGCCGTAGATTAATAGGAAACTTGAAAAAGTACGACTATATTTCGACATCTTTTCGAAAACTAGGTTGGTTGAATGTTTAAAAATTATATAAATATCGCTTACAATGTTACGTTCTTAAACTCCAAATTACCTCATTACCTCAGTTTTTAAAGGAAAAGCTAATAAATCGTATGACTTCATTCTAGAGATATCCGCTTCCTAAATACAGTCACCACGCCTGTCCACAGAACTTTTTTCCATAAAAGCTTCACTTCTAACGCGACCCATCGATAATTTATTCATTACCCCTGAAATTTGATAACTTTAAAAAAATCAAGAATCTGCTTGTAGATTGCCAAAATTAAAAATACTCATCTTTCACTTCAGCTAATAAAAATAGTATTTTTTCATTTGTCAAAGTAATTACATTAAATACGTATAATACTTTTGTTATGCTGTCAGCCTAATGTCATTTATCTATTTTATTCATGTTTGTATTTAGTATCTTAAGCTAAACTTCGCCGCAATAAAAAGACGATCATCATTATTATTATTACTATTATTATTATTATTATTATTATTACCTGTACATTTTTTCATCAACACCAGCCGTTTCCGAGGCGCGAATAGGCAAACACACCGACGGAAATAAGTGACAAATATCTAGAAAACTATAAATCGCTTATTCGTTGGAACAAAAGAACAGTTATCGTAACAGGCTATCGTGCACCCTGCCATATATTTTCTTGACTATATTTCTCTGATTGCTACTACAGAATTCTGTAGTACAATATCTGACGGATTGAGGAGTTCGGGACTTCTACGTCATAGATACAGAGATGAACTGAAAAGATGACTTATGAATGATATTTTGAGAGAACTCTTGAGCGTCTTTGCCACCTGTTCAACTCTAACAGTCGAGTGGACAATAGAGCCAGTTTAAAGTGCAGTGCAAATAAAGGAGTTGTTCTACTATTGTGTATGCTCTCGTGCCATGGAGACCTTTGCAGAAATAATAATGTGTTTGCTCAATGTTTTTACTGCACGATTTATCTCAGTTTGACTGTGTACTTTCTAATTCCGACTGTTTAGCGTTTGAGACTTGTGAGAAAGTGATGCGGAAGTTACTCGTATATTGTACCTTTTTTTAACATGAGGAAAATAAGAATGGTCGAATTTAACAGGATGAAGAAGCATTGTTGAAATTATTAATTTCTGTAACGACTAAGCTACGCAAAGTGCAAGCAATTGTGAAGTTATGCACAGAAGCTATGTTAATAATTCACTATTTACTTGAAGTTGTTGTAGTGTAACTCCTGAAATTTATCCAGAGTGCTCTATGTTCATAGGACCCCATTGTCTGACCTAATCAAACCACATATAGTGGTAGCCAAAACGTTGCACATACGGGTATTTGAATTAAAAATCCGGACAAAACTTTTTTTTATTTTAAGTAGTAAGTAAACTGTAATTAGCTCTGTTATAGTTAATAATGCTACTAATATAATATAAAAAATCTTATTAAGAAGATGACAACCAAGAATCATCTAAATAGTCTCCTATCTCTGGTGCAGAGTCTTCATCATCATCATCATTATCACCAGACAAATTTGACTGGCCCATCGGTTCTTCAGGCAGGAGCATTTCAATAGTTTCCTTGAGAAATGGTTTTGTAATTTTTCTTGGAGGTCTCATGTCAGTTCTCAGGAGATCCGAGCTCAATAATAATCTATTTATGATATCAAGATTGCAAGACTCTCTGCTGAACTTTCGAGCATAATTTTGGCGGTATAACCGAAAGAGTTTTTTCAATGACAATGGGTCCATGTATTTTGTTTAGAGTTGGTATCATTGGATGCCACGAATATAATTCAACGTACAGTTGTGCCCTGTCCAAACAAAATATACTAAGTGACATATAAATCCGAACACCCAGTTTCAATGGTTTTATTTTAATAAAATTTTGTATAAGTACTTAATGAGGCATAATAAGTAAATGATAAAAATTCCAAAATGATTGCACTGCTTTAAAGCCCTTTGACCTTTAATAATGTGAGGATGCACCCTGATGTGCTACGCATTCTCCAACGCGCCTAGGCATGCTTCTGATCAGGCGGTCAATGTCCTCCTGTGGTATCTCATTCCAGGCAACCACCAACACCTCTCGCTCCTCTCGAAGTGCTTCTAGAGTCTGAGGAGGACGTTGCAAATTGAGCAATCTCCTACCCATCATATCCCACATGCGCTCAATTGGGGATAAGTCGGGAGATCTTGGTGGCCATGGTAACAATGTGACATCATTATGTCGAAAGAAGTCTATTGTGACTCTTGCAACATGTGGTCGGGCATTATCTTGTTGGAAAGTTGGATCTGCCAGAGTGTCAAGATAGGGTAAAAGATGGGGTTCTAGAACTTCGTGGATATAACGCTGCGCGTTCATGTTACCTCTGATGAAGATTAAAGGTTACCTGGAACCATAAGCTATAGCACCCCAAACCATAACTCCAACAGTGTGATGAACATGTCTTTCAACAAAAAACTGTAGATTCCTCCTTTCACCACGTCGCCTTCTAACCCTTGCACGACCATCGTGCATGCCTAAACAAAATTGAGACTCTACACTTCTTTGCACTCTAACTGCAGTTGCCCGAAAAGAAAGTCCAGCTTCCCGAAGTCCCACTATACGGCCCCTATCAAACTCACTAAGTTGACGAAATCGTACAGGTCTCCGTACTGTAGGCATCGTAACCGATCGTAAAGGATGTCAAGAACCAAAATCCGCCAACGTTGATTCTTTACTGCGGCTGAAATATTCATTTTTAGAGCGTTAGTGAATTAAAAAAAAGCAGTAGGTATAAAAACCGGAATGTCCAACTGATAAGGCTGAAAATTTTTTCACTTGTTATTTACAGTAAGATAGATACATTCACCAACTTTTATTAAAATAAAACCATTTAAACTGGGTGTTCGGATTTATATGTCACTTAATATATTTCAAATTTCTGTTTGTCTATTTTATGACCGCTTGATATCGCTCCCAAAATTACTTTAAGACCAAAAAGGAGACGGGAATCTATACCGGTTATTGTTGCTGATAGCTCATGATCCGTAAAAAATCTCATACTGGTATTCCCAGCATTGCTGGTTCCGAAACCAGCTTTTGGAGCATCAACTATAAGACCCATTTGGCATCTAAATTCCTTTTGTATCTCCAATTTCCTTTTGTATCTCCAATTTCCTTTGTTGAACTATTTGTTTATCTCTTTCACTTCTTAATTGCCATTTCTTCACTGGCAATTTGTACCCAATATGAAGCACTCCTTCAAACAGTCTTATTCTGGCATGCAAAATTGATGAGCCAAATTTTAAGGAATTTTCATTACAAGGACGTTTTTTTGATAAATCGTTGAAGTCTTTGGATGTAGCACCGCAAATATAGCATTTCATCGTGGATTTTGTGTTGGTTGCGGCATTACACACTTTCGCATGAACCATTGTGAGCATCATTACATGTTTTACTAGAAAGCTTTTGTTTAATTGCGCGACCTGTGTCGGTTCCAAAGACTTTATTTTATTTTCTATATCATTTATTTCCTCGTTTGTGATATCTACTGTTTCTTCACAAATCTTAAGAATCGTAAGAAGGCAACGGGTTTCGCCCT